GGGATGTTTGGGAGTAGAAGTCAAAAAAAAAAAAAAAAAAAAAGCAGTAAAGAAAAGGCAAATTTTTCTCAAGGTTACATATCAGGTGGAGGGCCGTCATGTTATACTTTCAACCTCCATTGTGCTAAACTATTATCAGCCATAACCAAATTCTCACCTCCTTGCTGCATGGTGGATGGAAGCACATTTTCTCCCGCTGACAGCGACACGAAGAAGGCAAACGGGATGACCCACAGGCAGATGGTGAAGTAGGACAGCACCTGACACCAGTCAGAAACAGTCGGTAAAAAACTGGACAAGAAACACATTTCCATGCTTCCAGAGCCGTAATGACATGCAATACCTCTGAGAACGGGTAATACTCTTGTGCAAAGTACTGGAAGGCCATGTAATGGTTCACCACCACTAACACTGCAGTGTAAAAACAAAAGTACGTAAATCATACTGAAAAACAGTAACACGTGACCAGAAGCAACTAATCAAGCCTCAACGGTTAGTGTGTCGCTTTATTATACTAACGTATTCTTCAGCATTGGTGAATCCTGCAACAGGATATAATGAAATCTGATCCAAGTCGCGCTCACCACAGGAGAGGATGAAGTTGGGAGAGCTGAGCAGAATGTAGGGAAAGGTTCGCAGGAGGCCAAAGTACACCAGGTTCGTAAAGAGGCCGACGCCGACCATGAGGAGAGGGAAACCTTCAAAGACGTAGAGGCACACCAGCACACCTGTCGAGAACTGGACATACATTCACACGCAGTGAGACTCCGTGTACAGATTAAAAAGTGCATCATCCTGCACCAGCATACTCACCAGGATCATGTATTTTATTATTCGACTTGTGGCTACTGTGTACTCCTCTATTAGCTCTGCCAAGTAGTATAGGCCAGCCGCTGGTGGAAGACGAAAGGGATTACGTAGGCTGCAAAACATCTCTGATGCAAGACTGCTTAGCAAGGAGCTAAAACAGGCGTCAGAGGGTGTAAATGGTATCCTTGCTTCATGACTGGAGTAAGACTGGAGTCGGTCGAAACACTTACAGATGTACCACACAGCATTACCAGCATAGATGCAATCAGAGCCTTACAAACAAATATTTCTCTAAAACTAAAACATGATCATTATTAACCATGCTAACCTCTCCACCAGTTAGATGAGGCAAAAGAGCACACATTCAATCTTATTTTTACAAAATGTTCAATATTTGTTGGTACCGCTTAGTGTTTGGTAATATTTTTTTAGCACAATTTAAAATAATCCATAGTAGTTTATTGGGGAAATGTAGGTCAGAGTAGGAGATATTTTATCTTCATACCACTATCTGTTTAGTTTAAAAATAGGCCTTTTTTCCCCCATCAGCAAAGGAAAAACAAAGAAGAAAAAAATATTTTGTGACATTAAAATACTTAAACTATTTCAAACTATTATTTAAGAAACAAACAGCTATTCAAATTATAAAGAAAACTTAGTGAACGCTAAATAGCAAAACTAGTTTCTCTTCATTTCTTGAATGTGACATGCATGTGTTGCTTAATAGATTTTTTAAAGACTTTCATCTAATTTAGTTCAAGTTAAAATCCTCAAATACTCTCTGATGCACAACCAATAAAAATGTAGGAAAGATCTGGCTATCACACTCTGGTTTAGCTTGTAGTTTCACTAAAACAATTTGATTTAATTGCACTTTTTGTTTTCCTTTTTTGTTCTTTCAAACCAGCTTCTCTTTAGGAAATAGTTTTATACATATTTTTAATTTCAACTGATTTAATGAGACCCCAAAGAAAACAAAAAAGACTGCAGCATCGACAAAACTTACACATGTACAAATATCTCCTTCTGAAGCTAATTATTTTCCTAAAATAAAATGAATGCATCATCTCTGGATTGTTTCTTCAGCCCTAAATACAGTATTAAAGTTTTTTTTTTCTCTTATATTGTGTGTTATACGGTTTTTGTTTCACATTAAAAAAATAAAGAGGCCTGCTTGATACCAGCCAGCTAAACCGATTCTTAAGTCTGATGTGCTTCTTCGTTTGTTTGTTTTGGGCAATAATTTAATAATTACTGAGCATTCAGTAAACTTTTGTACTTTGTTTCCACATATAAACAATTCCCCACTGACTTTGTGAAACTGATAGCATTGTCGTCTTCAAGTTTCAGCTTGCTGCTGTAACTCTGATCTTTGCTTAATCGAGTAATGTCAGCGTTTGTTCTAGATTATAAGATTAGTTTTACAGTAAACCCACAAGGAACTAAAGGAGCTTGGAGTTAAACGGCAGCTAGCTAGCTAATTTTCAACAAATTTACATCTAAATTGCATCTCCTGCATGGAAATCACCCCAGTCATGTGAAAACTGCGACATTAACTTTGTTTTTCGAAGCTCCGCTGACGTTCACCTGAGCTGATTCACCTGTTCACAGCGTTAGCATTACCAAGCTAATTTGAGCCGCTACGTTATCAGCGGCGGACATTCTCAGCTTCAACTCACCTATCGCTAGAGTGACGAAGGACACTTGGACGATCAGCGACAGCCAGCTCAGTAAATAAATAAACCACATCTCTCTGCATATGCTACAACACACACAATAAAGAGAATAAAGACTAAAATAAGCTAGCTGCCTGCTAGCGCTGTTCAGAGCTCTTTCCGCTGTGTTTTCAGCACGAGCCGACAAGTGCAGGAAAGAAGGGAGTTTTTTTTTTTTGACAAGAAGGTTGCGACGCTGTCGCTACAGCGCCACCCGTGGTAGGAGCAGGAATGCAATTTTGTCAAAACTTTTAATCGTAAATTGTTTTAATTAGAAATGTTGAACATTATTACACACGATTAAAACTATAACTTTCGAAAGACGTAGTTAAAACTAACAAATGAACGGATTAAAGGAAATTTAGCAAGATGAGACAATTAAATTAAGGTTTCTTCCCAACAGTAACAACAAGAATGGTTCTGGCATCAGACTCTGATTAGTCTCACAGATCAGGTATAGTGCCTCTTTACAAATTTCTTCCACTTTTGATACACTTAAGAGTTTTAAATCATTAAACTAATTTTGATATCACAAAGGCAGCATGAGTAAGTAAACACAAATAAATAAATTATAATTTAATTTGTCAAGGAAAGAAGCTGTCCAAAGCCACCAGTTAGCTAACTAAGCTAATTATTTGCCCTCTAACTGTAATAACTGGGTGCATCATTCTTGTTGGCAACAGTGGCCATCAAACATTTGCAGTCAATGTTTGTTTTACATCAGTGTGGAGGAATTTTGTTTGGCTCTTCTTAGCAGAACTGTTTTTGTTTTACCCACGCTGGCATATTTACAACCATGCACTGCCTGTAAAGGCCACACCATAGTACGTCAGTCAAATTCAAGTACAGACTTTAAGTAGGCCACTCTAAAGGCTTCATTTTGTTTTTTGAGGAATTCAGAGTTGGAAATGTTGGCATCATTGTCGTGATTCAGACCTGATAGGATTTTCTGATAAACTATAGAACTCATGTTTCCATTAAACTTAGGTTATTTTCATCATGTTTGATGGTTGGTTTGACAGTTTTTTGTTCTTGAAATTCTGAGTTAGTTTTAGTTCAAATGTAACAGGAAGCACATCTTAAATAATAATTTAAAAAATCCTCTTTTGTCTCGCCAGCCCTCTGGATACTTTTGTTTTTTTTTCGCCAAAAGCCTTGGAGTCCACCAAAATGTGTTTTGGTGAATGATTTCCCATTATTCAATCTCTAGCTGCCTTGATGCGTGTCTGGTGTTCAATTGGCTATTTTCATGTTTTTTTGTTATACAAATTTCTCAAGTTCGTACATGGAAACGTATCAAGAGCTGCAGGTTTGAACATAACAGGAAAATTAAATAACCTACGAGGACTTTAACCTTAAAATGGAACAGGACTTCTGCTTTAAAGTGGCTTATAAATGGTTCAAGATGGGATTAATATTTCATAAATTATGACATCTAGATTATGAATATCATACTTATTTCAATTATATTTAAATGACTAGAAATGTCGTCTCCATAGAACATGTTAAAAGAAAAAGAAGCATGAATTTATTTATTCTTCCCTCTTTATTTGCGTCTTTAACCTACACTCACTCCAACGTCAAGGACACACACACACACACACACACACACACGCACACACACACACACACACACACACACACACACACACACACACACACACACACACACACACGTATAGATTCAATAACCAAAAACCAAAAAAAAAGCAGGTGCCACGCATTTCTACATCTTAAAAGGCGCCACTTTTAAGACCAAGGTTCAAAACAATAAAAAATGTATACCTGGGCGTGAAAAGGCAGGTGTTAAATAAGGTAAATATATAATGCGAAACAGTGTGAAGACACTAAAACGGTGTCAGAGTGAAAGGTGAGAGGAATGTCCTCTTTTCTTCAAATGCTTTCAGCTGAGGCGTATAGACGGGCAGCGAGGAGCAAAGGTGTGCGCATTCATTCATCCGTGCCGCATATATATGCAGCATCTGAGGAGAGGTGAGAAAACTGAAGGGAGTGAGGGAGAGGTGGGGAGTGGGGGAGAGGTGGGGAAGGGGGGTCTGCTGCATTTATTTAAAAACTTTCAGGAGGGGAAGCCATGGCTCTTATCTCAGCGACGCCTCTGGGCTCGGGGTGTGACAGCCTTAATGTGCCAAAATAAGAGGCAGCCTGTATTCTGCTGCCGGATCACGCTTCAGGAAAGAAAGAGACACCCAAGGAGGGAAGTGGGCGAGGGTATTCATAGAAGGGTTTTAATGGCTCTGGTCATCTTTTATCTATTTTCTGTTGAGAAAAAAAAACCCTTTACCCCACACTGGGGAAAAACCGGGGGGAAAAAAAAAAAAAAAAAAAGGCTGCTGGACATTAAATAGAGCTGAAAAAGCTCAGGTATATATGTCACAACAAGGACCGGCTTTTTTCCAGCTAAGGTCAAACATCAGTCTATAGTGATATCCTAAAATGACTACAAGACGAACAGAATAGTTTGTTTAATACGTGTTTTATTTGAACATTAACCAAAAAATAAATCAGGCAGTAATCGCCGTAGCTACAGGAGTGCGTCTTTACGTAAGGCGTTACGATGGCACATTTTGTTGGAGAGGCTGCTGTACGCCTCCGTGGCTGACGATCAGCGCTGACGCTCTGATGCGGGAATCTCTCTTCTCCCTGTTTTGCTTCAGCCTCCGGAGCACAGGTGCACTGCCGCTCTCACCGGCCCAGGGACAGTCACCTGCCGCTGGGACACGCTGCTGGCCCGGCTGGAGATCTGACCGAGAGAGATAAGCACATATTCATGTTAGGCACGAAGCCGAAGAATGAGAGCTACGGGACGCACCGGAACACATCCGTTCGGACAAAGAGGCTCGTTTCGGATGTACAGGGAGCTCTCGGTCTCTGTCCTTCTGCAGTCGGACACCATACAGCAATTCCTTTATTTTAAAGATCAAATTCTTTCACTTTTGTGTGGATAAAGTCGTTTTTACGACGCAGTAGTGCAAACAAGCACAACTTTCAAAGAGTCCTTTTGTGGTTTTATGAGACAAAACAACACAAAGCAACACAAGATTAAGCGAAGGGAAAGTGACAAAAGCAAATCTTGACAAAATGTGGTCGCTCTCCACGACCAGAACTTTCTAAAACTACATTTCACAGACAGATACAAGAGACTGATTTTGTTATTTATTGGTATTTGACTCTTGTCTCTTGGTCTTTAACTCCAGCATCAACTTCATCCAGCTTTTATTCCACCAGTGAAGAAACGTAATCCCGCAGCATAATGCTACCACCCCCACGTTTCGCAGCAGGAATGGTGTGTGTTAGTGTGTGTTGGTTTCCCACCACGAATATCATTATTTTTGAGTGCAGACCAAAAATATTACAGCTTCCACATGTTTGCAAACCAACTTTCTTTTTGCCGCCGATTCATAAAAGTCAGGCTTGCTGCGTGAACGACGTCTGTCCTTGTGGGTCCTTAGCAGCACGGATTCAGTACTGACGTCGTCTCAGGGCATTTTTGCACAAATGTACTGTCAGTTCACTCATACGTACACTTTCAAAGTCAAGTAAATACATTCTAATAATCTTAATTATGAAACAATGCAGGTAAATTTAGTTTATTATTCTAGAGGGTGAAATGTTTCCTGAGAATATCTGGCCGATAACGAATCCCTGAGTTTGCAGCGATGCGCTCATCTTCTTTCCATGTCAGATTCAAGATGAACAGAGTACAGTCAATAATTCAATTCAAAAGTACTTTTTGACAATAATCTTGAAGCAGATAGTAAATACACTTCTCGTTAAGACCACATTTCCATGTTTAAATATTTCATTTTCGTCTGAAATTATCCCAATGGTAAATGTTGTGGGTTTTTTTTCCATCAGCTGGTAAGACGAAAATCTTCATAATTAACAGAAATAAAAGCTCGAAAACATCAAACTGCTTGTAGTTAATGAACACAGTGTGTGTGTTTCACTTAGGAAGCCAAATAAATTAACTTTTTAATAATTTTCTAATATATTGATTGAGTGCAGTTTTTTCAACCTGACCATGGTTTAAACTTCTCTACAACTTTCTCCCCTTTAAATGTCTGAAGTTACTTTGCCTCCATGATGCCGGCTGTTTATTAATCTCCTCCAAATGACATCCGAGTATCAAAAGTTGTTGTGTTTATTCAGAAAAAAACATCTTACAGGAACTAACAGGCTGGAAGACAGAGAAACAAACAACAGAGAAACAGTAGAAGATAGAAAATGGCGGCCAACCAAACTAACAGAAGACAGAGGACAGTAAAAGTGGCTGTACCGCAGGTTGGAGCTGAGGACTGCCGGTCCGGGTTTTCTCCCATCGCTCTTCTTCTCCTCTGGAGGACCAGCTGCAGCTCTGCCTCGCCGACGTTCCTGCCGATCCCCCTCCTGGAGGGCACCCTGCGGAGGTGCTGCCGCTTAATGTTGTCCTGTTACAGCGGGCGGCAAAGCAGCACAAGAGAATTAGAAAACTAAAAATAAAGAAAAGCTCAGCTTCTCGGCGAAGTGATGAAAGCTCTGAGCTTATTACCAGCATTCCCTTTAATTCCAGGACGGCTGACTTCCTGTTTTCACTCCTCTGGTCCTGTAGGAGGATACGGTGTTGGAAAAATAAATGTTTTATTAAAAATCGTATAATTCTTCTCATAAAGCGAAAGAGAGAAGGAGAAAAAAAGGTAATCTATAGCTGACCCTCCATGAACTGTCTTCTTCCTGCAGGCAGAGAAGACGCAGATACTCAAGACAGTTTATCAGTTTTATCTTTAGATTAGATTCATAACACGCTCAGTATGCATTAATTACCTGGATGTTTTTTATGGGCCTCAGGACAATGCCTTTCCTTATTCTCTCCATCATTTCATCCACTGCCTTTGCCTTAATGTCGTTCAGCGGCGCTGGCTCTTAAAGAAAGTCAAGTCACACGCATTGCATCATGGGAAGGAGGCAGCAGAGTAACTGCTTTAAAAGAAACCCTCAATTTTCAAACAAAGCATTAGAGGAACATGGATTACTTTATGAGCTCCAAAACACTGAACCGAGTTCAGATTTTAAACCTCGTGTCAGGGAGCATAAAAAGTAAAAACAACACCAAAAAAAAAGGAAAACTCACTGCTGTTATCGCCTCTGTCGACTCGATGCTTCCTGCTCCTGAGGAAATCCTGCAAGCTGCATGTGGGTAGAAAGACAGTTCAGTTTTAACTCTAATGGCCTCCTTACTAAAAACAACGAATAAATACACTATGTGGTAAAAGTATTCATCTCCTGCCTTCTCCTCCAGGGCCGGTGTCCTGCTGCTTTTAGATGTTTCACTGCTTTAACTCACCTGAGTCAAACAGGTTAAATAATTAGCAGGAGTCTGGAGACCCTGACTGGATACTGAGAATGTGATTCAGCCGTTCGATTCAGGGACACATCTGAAAGCTGCAGGACACTCGACCTGCAGATGCCTGGATCTGAGGATCACTGGTCCAGAGGAAGAGTTTAGTCCTTATCCAAATGGTTTAAAAACGATGTCGGCCCACCGTTTGAATCTTCAACCACCACAGTTTGATGACTGGCGTTAATACACAGATGACAAGCTATAACTCTGGTTCTGTTTGCAGAGTGGATTCTTCACACCTGCTGTGGCCAAAGTGATCGAAACATCTGAATTCAAGTATTTGGAGAGCTACGCATGTATTTATGCTTGGGACTGTTTGTTGGTTTTAAAAAGAAAAAAACTGAAACAGTAGTTCAACCTTCATGCCATCCAATGGAAGAGAGCAGAATGAATTTCGATCGACGTACTTGATGACAGGAGTGGCTGAAGGAAGAGGAGGCGGAGGAGGAGGAGGAGGAGGTGGAGGAAGAGGAGCAGTTACTTCCTCCAGATCTTCATTTTTCTCCTCTGTGTTCATCCTTTCCTGTAATTGTTTCACTATAAAGAAAGACAAATAGTAACACTTTATTTGAAGGGATGTGCATAATACTGCCATGAACAGGAAGGAGTCGTCATGAATGCTTATGACTGTTGTCATTCGGTAAATAATGACTCTTTTAATGCGAGGTTGTTCTAAAACTTCCATTGAAAGCGCATTAAAAGTGTCAAATTTGCACTAAAAGTGTCTTTATTTATCCAATGGCACTCCGTGACAACAGTCATAAGCATTCATGAAGACTCCTACAGGTGTTATAACATGTTTATGACAGCATTATGTCAGTCTTATACACACCACTTCAACTAAAGTGCTACCAGACAAATGAACTATGCAGAGCATGTCCAAGTTTTATATGACAGTAGTTCATATTTAGATCTGCATAACAATATAGTTCAGGTACGACGTGGCAGGAAATTGGTTCTTATCTCCTGCTAAATAACTAAAATCTTGAAAGTGATGACTGGAAAAAAGCACAATAACACAAAAACCAAACAAAAAGGGTTTTTTAATGCTGCCGCTGCTACTCTCTGCCCTGCTGTGCCTTGAGTGCTGGCGAATTGATAAACATGTGGGTCTAAATGTGACGTTCTGTGTTGTCTTTGAAGAATGCGTGTCGGTTTCTGAACGGTGTGTGTAAATCAGGATCAGTGCTGTGGAAACCCATTAAATCTTCAGTGTGCTGCTGTTCTGTGAAATACTGAAGGATAAAAGGATCTGGGAACGACATGTCAGTGCTGTGTGATGCTGTCGGTTCAAGCGTCCACCATGCCATCAGGACTTGCATCAGATTAAGTCATGTTGCGATTGGGTCATTGGTGCGTAATCGGTGCTGCAGCGGCGTCGGTTCTCTCCAAATCAGCTATAGCATAAGTTTGTGTGAGTGTGAGTGAGTGCAGTGCTCATGTCAGACTGGCTTATGTGGTGATCCATTGATGTGGAAAGCGATATTCATGTCTTCCAATGTCAATGAAACAAAAGGCAGTAACAATCCCGACTGCCTCACGGCGCGGCCCGGGGAATTAAACAGCATCCAGAACCAGCTGGATCGTGCTTCACCAGGCCAAACCTTTACCGAACCCCAAGATTCAGATTGGCGCGTCTCCAGTTTTCTGTGCGTGGCGTTCGCTGTTGTTGCTAATGATGCTTCAAGCTGTTACCTTCCTCTCTCAGCTCCGCCACTGACGCTGCGGCCTGAGACAGCTGACCCTCCAAAGTCTTCCTCTCCTCTTCACTCTTCCTCAGCTGCTCCCTCAGCTCTGTGACTGGTGCGTCGGCCTGAGACACTCGACCCTCCAACGCCTTCCTCTCATCCTCGCTCTTCCTCAGCTGTTCTCTCAGGTCCTGCAGCTCCTCCTCAGCGCCCGTACCCGGTTTGATCTGACCCACAAACACAGGAGAGACTGACGAAACGTCGCTGCGTATACGTCACAAATCCACGTTTCTGCCGCTGCGGCGCGCACCTGGTCCTGGTAGTAGCGCTGGATGTTGCACAGGGCCGTGTTGATGCCGCAGATCTGCGTCAGCGCCTGCTGCAGCCCAAGCCGCACGTCGGCCTCGGAGGCGCATGCCTCCGTCGCGCTCGGCCTCTCGGCCCCCTTCTGCTCCGCCAACATCTGATGAGACAAACCAAGTCTGGCTTCACCTCTAACATTTTCAACCCATCCTTGTAATCATCTGCTTTGAAGGAAATGGAAAAGAAACACATCGACTACAATGAACCGCCATTAGAGGAAAATGAAGGGAACTGAATTGCTGGTTGTAGAAAACGTCTCTCCCCAGGAGGCTGTCACAATGCGGGGGGAAAATGTTTTCAAACCATGTGTTTGACTGAACAATGACTCGGGAGCCGTCATTACTCATAGGCTTCACTGTGGAGCAGGAACTGTGTAAACAGGACGGTTTTTCTGTGAGACAAAGCGTCATTACTCTTCCATTATGAAGAAACAATTCTGGCTTTGCCTCAATTCACTGTGAAATTGTCTCTTTCTCTTTTTTTAACCCCGTCTTTTCATTGTGACAGATGAATGCACCAGTTGTGGTTATTAACTAGAGAATCAAGTTCCAAACAGACCTTTTGTTCTTTTACCCAAATCCTGTCAAGAGCTCGAATGTTACAGCTCAGATCTCTGCGACATGGTCGTCAAACCGGTTTAAAAGCAAAAACAGAACAAAAAATTAAAAAAAAATCCAATAAAAGTCACAAATTTATAAAATGCTGGCAGGTCTGATGAAAACTGACTCCGTCCAGGAACACTTCCTGCCCTCTTCCAGGTTTTTAGGTTCGTAAAGATTTTCAGGGCAATTTTTTTAAGCAGGAAATTTTAAAAATGTGTTTTCTGAAAGTGAGCAATGCACTTATTTTCTAATACTTTGGTGATCTGAAATACTTTAGTGACGCATGCCCAAATTGAGCCAGTGTTAGTGGCATTAAAACCATTAAAACATGTCGATGCCCCCTGCGGTTTTCTCGTCCGCCCTGATTTTGACACATAAACAATGACTGTGTTCCCAGAAACTAATTCTTTGGTTCCATTCTAGGTATTTTTAATTTTCCACTGAATACATAAATACAATTTCAACATTCAGATGAGATTATAAATGACATTCTTGACTTTCAGCTTAATTTTCAAACTCCATTTTAACTCTGAGCAGAATTTATAAACACGTGTTTTCAGATTCTGCTGGATTTTTAAATGTTATTTTCAATTTATTAAGGGATGACCAACGTCTGACTGAACAAATGTATTTGATGTCATGAGCAAAATTATTGGTTTTCAGCTTAAAGTTGAATTTATAAATGCTGTTTAGAGCTTTCAGCCAAGCTTACAAGCACAGTTTTCCTCTTTCAGATAAATCTGTAAAGTTCGTTCTCTACATTCACCTGAATTTTGGACTTCCAGCTGGTGAAACAAAAAGTTTTAACCTCCAGCTGAGTTTAAAAACAACTCTTTTCGTCTTGAGGCTGAATTTTAAAATGCTGTTGGCTAGTTTACAACATTTTAAACCTCAAGATGAGTTTTAAAAATAAATTTTTTTGAGTTTCTGTTGAGTTTAAAGTCCGAATCTCTGAAAAAAAAAAAAAACATCCAGAAGCAGCTGTTTACATCCTTTTGCATCAAACAGTCATTGGGTCTCCATGTTCTGTGAGGATCACATTGTAATTGTTTAAAGAATGATCCAAATCCCTTTTACTCAAGATTTCTTACTGTTTTTTTCCCTTACTGGTCAGGAAAACTGATCTATTTGTATTCATTATCTTTTAAACTCTGTGTTATCTTCCTTCTGTTTTTCCTTCTTAGTGCACAAAACTCTTCCTACAACATAGCAACCATAGATGGGTTAAAGTTTGTTTAAAGCCACATAGCTCACTTATGATGAGAATCCTGAGGACATCCACTTGCCGTCCCTGAAATCAGCTAAGTGAGCATTTTTATGATTAAGTACGCCACTGAAAAACAGGAAGTGCGAGCAGAAAAAGGGGTTTTCATTTCTGCGTTTTTAGCCTGAGAACACACGGCAGCTTCAGATTCGGTTTGGTCTCCATCGGCGACGTGAACCACGAGTCTTTACGCTGCAAATTACACCACTCCGATCTCTGGTTCCCCTTCAGACGAGAGCCGTTTTCACACAGCAATTAGCACAGTTAGTTCACACACACACACACACACACACACACACACACACACACACACACACACACACACACACACACACACACACACACACACACAGCAGAGCAAAGAGACAAAAGACACATCCGCACACACACACACACACACACACACACACAGAAAAAAAGCTCAAAATTGTTTCCTGTTTGAGGATCCACATCATTATACCACCACACATGGCGGGGAAGAGGTGTGAATGGTTGTTGTTTTCAAAACACATGAAAACAGACAAATAGCAGCGCATACAAGAGGCATTCAGCGCACGGGGGGCCGGACGCCGGGGGGGTTGAAGGGGGGTTTCTTTTACCCTGAACTGAGAGTAAAGGGGTGGAATTGTGTGAGGAGTTGGGGGTCCCTTTCACAGGTAAGGACCCCTGCAAGGCGGCCCATTGTGCGCCTGTCCGGTAAATGGAGGACGCGGCGCACAAAGGCGACAATTGCTATATGCTCGGCAAAACATAAAGGTGTCAGGCGAAGACAGGTTGTGCTTGAAGGCCGCTATTCTCCCGCAGCAGCAATGATGACCGCTAATTATGGGGAGGGGAGGGGCGGCGCGGGAGGGGGAGAGATGTTTTGAAAGAAAAAAAAACAAAAAAAGCTGCCTTTATTTAAGGAGCAGCTGGGACAAGAAAAACTGTGGCTCGGTGTGTGTGTGTGTGTGTGTGTGTGTTTGGGTGTGGGGATCTCAAGTGAATTGATGTTTTCTCTGTCTGTGTGTGTTTTTGCTAGTGTGTGCGTGAATGCCAAGCCTCGTTGAGAGGGTCCAAATCTGACGGGCGGTGTGAAAACGGAGCCCCCCCCTTTCATTTGACCTGCCACCTCTGTTGTACCCTGACACCAAGACCACATGTGTGTGTGTGTGTGTGTGTGTCCCTGTCCTTTCTCTCACCACGGCCACCCGAAGGTCAGCGCCAACACCCCTTCTACCTTCCTGTGGCACGACCTGTCACCCTCAACGCCCACAGGTGCAAATGTGTGATAAAAATATTTCTGAGGGAAGATGAAAACACACACACACACTCTCACACACACACACACACACCTGATGGGCGAAGACTTCGGCGTGTTGCCGCAGGCCCTGCTCCAGCTCCAGCTTCTGAGACATTTCTGTGAACTCCTCGGTGACAAGCTGGGAGACTGGGCAAACACAGAAAAAAAAAATAACAAAAAAGAGGAAAAACAGAGAGATCCAGATTCATTATGGTAACGCATCCCCCCGGGGGAATTAACATATCATTTAGTCCGAGGGAAACAAGCTGAATTTTACTTTCAAATATCAATATAAAAGTAGCATGTTGACTATTCATATCCGTTCTCATGACCTCACGCTGCCCCGTTCACTTCTCATTTTCTGCCTCGGCTCTTTCAGCGCCTCAGATTCTGCGCTTGCTTGTGTTTGCAAGCACGTGAGACCAGGCCACCAGGACGAGATCGTTTTTACACTTCCAGGTCCGTCAGCCGTCAACGACTTTGACGGCTGAGTGCAAAACGACCCGGGACGACTTATGAAACAGCTTAAAACCCGACTGTGTAGAGCTGCTTTTGGTTGGTAGCTAGTGGAACATCGATCAACATATTTGATGCGTATTTGCTTGACGATATTTGGTGACCACATGATATTTTTTATATCCACGTTGATGAAAATGTGCCAGACAAATAAACTTGACTTATAAAGGCATTAAAATTATGCTGCAGTTTCTTTACGCAGCTGTGTACTAATGATGAGAAACTATTCTTCAAACTCAAGTTAGAAAATCCATCTCGTTATCGCTGGTTCTTGACCGCAGAGGTGAAAGTTGGAAGATATTTTACAAATTTTATAACTTTTGACTGAAATGATCTTGACCACCGGGTGATAAACAGAGGCCGTTGTTATTGCAGCTGCAATTCCCACAACCAGGCAAACAGACTTAATGCCATTCAAATGGCATTATTTAGACATTAAAAGTCTCTTCCTTGTAAATAAACTTTTCCCAATATTCAAAAGTCCAAAAAAATACATATCCAGTGCTGTGAAATCTTACAGATTTCTTCTTTTGTCACTTTTTTTTTTTTTGCCAGTGTTTCAAACCAGCTGGTAAATTTTAATATGAGACAAAGATGAAAAGACAAAAAGGAAACAATAATCCAAACCAACCTGACTGGGTGTGAGAATATAAATGCTTGGAAAACTGTGGAATAACTGCAAACCAATTGTTGTGGCCTGGTGACTATCAGACCTGTGGAGTTACGTCAATATGGCGACTTGAACGATGCCGGAAAAAGCAGCACATCATGGCGTCTGTCATTCTGGAAAGGGGTTTTAAAGCCTCTTACAGCTTCAGGACTCCAGTGAGTTACAGTGAGAGTCGTTGGAGAAAACATGGAGCAGTGATGAACCTTTACATCCAAAATGACTTTCGAGCTCATTCGAAGGGTCGTGAAAGAACGTAAATTCAGCTATTTCACATTTTGAGCTGCCGCCACAACATTGCATAAGATTTGGAGTCTGTCTTTAACGAGACTTGTTCAAAAACGAATCGTAAAAACAACCCAGCCCCGTTTTCTCGAAAACTACAAATAGTAGCAAGTGACGGATATCTTCCTGACGTTGCTCCCCCCCGTTTTAGTTGCTGTGAAGTCAACTGTTTTAAAAACGAGCACACATTGCACTTCTGACGTACAGGTTTAAGACTCTAACCTTCCTTTCATGTCAGAACCCTGTGTTTGGTTAATGACTGGTGAGAAAGTTCACAATTACAATGAGTGATTAAAATGTTCCAGTGCAACATGCTTGATAATAACAGAAATTAAGATTTTAAGGAGACTTTACCTCTTTTGATTTTGGTCATGGTCTTGGTCTGCTTGCTCATTTTCCTCAGGATGGCTTCCTTCTCCTCCGCCTCTGCAACAAGCTGAAAAAAACGTCAAGGTGAGATTCTCTCCCTGACCTCCATCCTAACTCTTTCACCTCAGAGAAACTTTTTTATGTTTTTTTCTTTTCTAACCCATTACCTTTACAACTACCTGCCTTATTCTTTAAACATGCAACTACGTCACTTCCTCCGATCCTGAAATTGAAGATCCAGAATCTACCTGCAGGGGTTCAATCGCAGTCCCCACATGCACAAAGAGTCCAAAACAGGAGCCGTCCCACCGGACCACAGATCCCAACACGATAAGAAACAAACACCCACGCACACACACACACACGCACACACACAGAGTGGTATTTAATACCTGCTCTCTGAGCTGGACCTGCTCTCTGGTCAGTTCCTCCACCTGATGCTCCAGCTGCAGCTTCTCAGCCAGCAGGCCGTCCAACGACGCCTGCATTGCTACAAACACACAGACAGACCCACCGAACTCACCATTAGGCTTTAAGAGTTGAACTGTTTTTAAGTGGTATTTTTTTTTTTTATATCTTCATCTTCACGCTCTTTGGAAATACAGTCAAAAATGATGCAATACGTATTCTGTGCCAATAGGAGGCGCTGACATCGACAGCTTCATAAGGCAAAAGAACAACTTGAGCACGGCTAAAGCACTTCTAGGTTACACGGACCCCCAAAACCAACAATGTTGGTTCTCCTTAGTCATTAAAAACCTTTCTTAGAGTTTTTTAATGAACTTGAGCAGATGAGAGCAGAAATAATTTCAGTTTGGTTGAATATTGACACTGCAAATTGTAGATAGCATTAAGGTTGCCCAGGTCTTATCTCCTTGCTCCTTGGCTAAGGACATGGAGGTAAGATCTGTTTTTTTTTTTTTTTTTTTTTTTTTTTAAAAAAAAGATAAAAAAAATTTTTTTTTGAGATTTATGGACAAATAACATACTATGCAACTAACCT